TCTGCTCTTCTGTGTGAGCCTTTAAACCTCAGACAGAGGCCGCGCCCCTGCTCCACCGTGGAGGGCGCTTTCGGCAGGAGCGCCGCCTTTGGAGGGACCGCGGCCTTCATCCGCGTCTCCTCCCACACCCGCACACACGGACCGTGTCCCTGCAGGGCGCAGAACTCACTGCGAGGGGGAGGCCAGAGGACTCGAAGCAAGGAGTGGTGGTTCTGGGAAAAAGAAAATATTTATTAAATAAAACAAAACCCGTTTCTGTGCCCTTCTTTAGACTATGCCAGTTGTGTGCGTGTAAGACCCACAAACAAATGAGGGCACCGCTGGGGAGGGAGGGCGGGGGCCCCAACTTGTCTTTTTGTATTTTTTATTTTGTATTATTGAAAACCTTGGAGATCTAACAAATACACCAAATTCTATATTTTGTAAATTCTCTATATTAGAAAACAGCTGTGCACAGCAGGGCGTTTGTGCTCATTTGTACTGTACGTATGTTGATGTATGTACTGGTGTGTGCGCGTGTGTGTGTTTATGCTGTGGAACTGGTCTCATTCAGGACGCCTGTTCCCCTCACTTCAGATTCTCCCAGGTCCTGCCAGAGTAGCGAGCATGTCCTATTGGGGTACCATACATTCAGATTAGGTGAAAGATGCATGCACACATTACCCCACCTCTCTCTGTCTCTCTCACACAAACACACACACACACACACACACACACACACACACTCATCACTTCCCCTAAGTAAAATGCAGACAGAATGAAAAGAAAACAAAAAACTTTCCCATCTCAGACAAAGCTGGAACCAAGGGAAGTAGCCTCAACCTGCAGGACAGCTTGGCCACTGCCCACCCTTCTGCTCCCTGAGATGTCAGCCATTTGCTGCCTGCAGAGAGGCAGCTCCTGCAACTCTGAGAGCTCAGGGATGGCGCTGGGTGCTCAGCTGGTGTGGGGATGTGAGGAAACCGCGCCTGCCTGGCTTTCTCTGTTGGCTGAGGTGCAGGTGGCTCTCTCTTGAGATGGTCCCTCAGACTTGGGGATGTAATATACAGCCCTCAGGCTCAGGGAAGGGCAGTGGCTTTGCTCTCCACCTGCAAACTAGGCAGAGGAAAGGGTAGAGGCCAGCTTCAGAGTCCATGGGGCAAAGCTAGCAGAAATTTCATTTTGTCTTGTTTTTGTTTAGTGGAGGGGGGCAGTTAAATATACCGAGAAACAAATTCTATTTTTTATACCCTGTGAAGGAGGCATTTGAAAAATGATACACTATCATAGAGACATACTCAAACAGAATCCTTGGGTCCTGTACCCAGATCTTTTCGTTGCTTCTCAGGGCAGAATTATCCTCGCCTCCAACGTGAGCTTGAAGGAGGTGAGGAGGCACCTATATGCCAGCTGCAAAATGTTACTTTGATGCCCACCTGCACCACCTCTCACTGGACACTAGCACCACCCTCCCCTTTCCACACACTGTCTCCCGCCCCAATTTGAGCACAGCTCTGAGAAGCAAAGCTTATGGACCTAGAACGGGCAGCCTTAGTCTGTGCGCTTTTGCTGCTCCATCCTCTGCGTTCTGTATCGCCCCTCTTGCATCTGTCGTGAGTGGCCGGCTCTCTCTACAGTGTTGTTCTCAAGCCCCTGAACCCTCCATATGGCCCACCAGTGTTGCTGGGTTTTTGTTTTGCTTCCAACCAGAGTAACATGTGTGCTGAGTTCTTCCTGTGTTCCCTTTGTTGGTCATGGCCTCCCCGGCCTTGTGGGGGCCCATCTTCCCCATCCCAGCAGTGACCGGTGACAATGTGCAGTGCTAGCTCTTCATTCCCTCCAAGGGGTGTGCACTTTTTTTTATCCCTGCTCTTGCAAAAACAGATACAATTATGATTTCCCATGGAAATTGAAAAGTCTATTTAAATAATTTAACTATTAAACACTTTCACTGGTATCGTGTCCTGGTCTGATTTGCATCTTGGGCCATGGGCCTGGTTCTAGTCCAAAGAACAGTGTACTCAGCACAGAAGGGGCGCTGCAGAGGGAGACTCAGAGGGTGGAGAGCTCCCCTGAGTGGGGACAGTGCACTGCTGTGGAGAGAATGTCAGCTGAAGACTATAGTCATTGTGGCAGCAGGCTGGAGAACACTGGTGACTGGACCAAGAAGCAGGTGCCAGGGGGCAGGAGGCTGAGGAATGAAGAGATGGAGAGGGGCCAGGAGTGAAGGGGACATGGGATTGAGGATGGAACCAGAAAAGATCCAGAGTCAAGGGGAGGATGTTTTAAAACAGGTGAGCCAAACATCCTTCTCTGCTAAGGGAATGAAAGTTGAAATTACAAGAGGGAACACAGATTGTTGAAAGGACCAAAGTAGGGAGGACAGAGATGCAGGCAGGAGGTGAACTGACTTGACCTGGATACTAATAACAATGGCTACCATCTATTAGGCATTCTGTGTGCCAGACCCTTCAATGAACATTATCTCATTTAATCCTCTTGGCCACCACATTTCACTGAAGAAACAGAGAAGTTGAGTTATTTGCCTAAACCCATACAGCTAGTAATTAGCAGAGATAAGACTAAAGCGGGCCCGTCTGCTAAGCCCATGCAGGTAAGTAACTTCACATGTGCCCAGGGCTCCTCCTCCCCCAGGGGAAGGGAAAGATGGTAGGAAGGCAGGGGGCTCTTTTCAGCAGTTCCCAGCTACTGCACCATCAAGTGCAGGGTTATATTTGGGATCAGGAAATAAAACCAGAGGGGCTTGGTCAAATTAAATTGAAAACAAGTGAAAATTAAGGAACCAGTGAAAGAGACTTCACTGAGGTTCACTGCAATGATGGCCACGTGGAGACACAGATGTGGTTGTCCTGGTCATAGGCAGGTACCGGCCTCAAAGAGAATAGACATTATTAGGAATTCAAATGTGTGTGTGAAGGAAGTAATTGCATAGAGCTAAAGTTTAACTCAGAGAACTTTTCAGGCTGGGGTGAGACCATGGGTAATTAGTTAAATCCATTTCACCTATAACCTGTCTTCACTAATCAAGATCTTTTTTATTTATCAAGGCCGTTTTAATCGTTGCTACAGAAGGCTTGCATGTCCTCCAAGCCCCATGTAGCCTAAACTATAAGACATTGGCCCCAGCTGTTTTCTAGAAACTTGAAGTCAGCTGAGTCTAGTTGGAGCTGAGCTGGTTAAGACTCAGAACCACGGACCCTTCAACTGGGCATGTGTGAGTGGCTTTGGTGCACTTTAGAAAGTGCAGAGGACAGTAGTTTAGTTACGCCTGCGCAGAAAAAGGATTTTCACACCTTTTTCCAATCACCTTTCACCACACACCCTAGTCTTCAGACCGCCCTGCTTCTTAATTCGTTATCCTATATAAATACCCTGCGCCCCTGCTTACAGGGAGGCGGATTTGAGCTGTGCCCTCGCGTCTTCTTCCTTGGCTGCCTTGCACATAAGCTTTCTCTTTGCTGCAAACCTCAGCGTCTCAGCATCTCAGCTTGTGCCTCAGGGAGGATAAACCTGGTTTGGTAACAAATTTGGTGAGCTGGCAGAAGTTAAGTCCAGACAGAGATTTCGCCCCTGGTTTGTCGGCCCCTTGGTGGTACTGAGAGCCTATGGACGAGTTCACGCGACTGCCTGGTCCATTTGTTCCACGGATCATCTCCCTGACTTCCCCAGGGAGGCACCTCTGACCTCCAGGACTTGGTTTAGTTTTGCAGTGAAGAAATGGTTTCGGGGTTTGGAAGATGTCTTTTGAGTGAGAAACCTTGTTAAACACACCTGTGCAATCCTGACCAGCTCGTGGGTTGGAGGCCCACCGGGTCAGACAACAGGGAAGGTTATACAGCTGCTTTGTAGTCCGTACCTGAGTTAAAGGCTTGGGGCTCCATATTTTCTGTTTTGTTTTGTATGGGTCTTGTTTTATCGT